CCTTTTGCAATCATTCTTCCCGAATAGAACTATGAGGGAAGTAGTAAATAAGCACAGTTTCATTCAGAAGAATAGAAACTTTTAATTAACCAATTAAACAGTGCATATTAAGGATAACTCAAAATAAAAGCAAAACTTTGTGATAATCAGGCGTGAGCAAAAAACAAAAAAAACGAGGGTAATACACTCAAAACGCATCGCAGCGTCTATAGTTTTTTTAAAGAAAAAAACCGACATTATTTTAACTAAAGTACGTCATTTACCTGTCGATAACATGGTTTGTTATACATAGCAAACTCTTTTAGTGTGACACTTAGTGTGTGACAAAATATCATTGCAATAATATATAATACATATAAATTATGTACATATATCACATTAATAATAAACTATGTCAACGTGTCGCTTGTGCTGACAATGGGATGTCGTGTAAAATAAAATATAAATATATTATCCTGATTCAAAATATGATTAATTGTTATTAATTTACTTTTATTACTTTAATTTATACAAGAAAATTCTTGAACGCCTTTGGATGTGAAAATGATGGCAGATAAACATTATAGTTGCCTCATTATCGATTCTTTTTTTTTTTTCAAACTAAGAAAGAAAGAATTTTATGTGAAATTCGAAATTCATGAGACTGTTTCTCTTTGCCGATCTCTCATCTCTTTAAATTTCAGGCTGCACGCATTGTCCAGAGAAAATCGGGATTACATCAAAGGCATTTGTCTCCGCGTTTTCGGCATATTTGACAATGCTATACGCGAACGGGCGATCTATCAAAAATTCATCGACAGTCCGTATTCGTCCGGTTCGTAAGAAGAAGATAACAGCTGAAACAAACGTGTTGAACAACGCGATGTAGTACTTGTTGATAATTGTTATTGACGTTGTTCGTTTAAGCTATATACATGCGATTTTTTTTTTTATTTATCCCATACATGCAGCATTAATGAATTTCAACTTTATGGTTGAATATTTTTTAGACATCCCTCTCTCAATGCGATGCAACTGTTTGATTGTGTTATTTATTATGTTTTTATTTTTCTCTTTAACTCCTTTAATAATTGAGTATCAATAATAAATCAATGACGATACTTCTGATTGATTTCGTCAACTGATTAATTTTAATTCAATTACCCTCGTATATATTTAAATCAACTTATAAAGCTAAGTTAGTAGTACTTGATGCGTTGCAGTCAAGTTCAAAGGTACGACGAATTGAAATAAATTTTCTATTGAATTCATCAGAAGATTGTTGAAAGCTCTCACAGAATATTTGAATATTGATAACATTATTTGATAATAATAATGATAGAGCACGTTGGAAAGAATGTTATTGCGGATCGATGATACGTCCATTAAAGAGCAACAAAGGCGCTTCCCCATCGACTAATTTGATGATATTATAGAAAAATGGACGATCGATCGCGAAGAGTTGATAGATCATCATTTTGAAGATCGTGATTCCTGAAACATATTAATATTGATGTAGCACTCACACACAATAAAAATAAGTTCTTATTGACTTTCATTTATTGCACATGCGAGATTAAAATATACAGAGAATGATAAAAAATATACTTGCCAAATATAAAGAATAAAAATATATACTTGCCAAATATAAAGAATAAAATTCAAGATAAAGGACTCACACATCTTAAAGTAAAATAAAAACATAAACTTGGAAAAAGAAAAGTCTTCGGAAAACGAACAGACATAAAAGAAAAATATGACCAAACAAAAATATGAACCAAATAAAAATTCTAATATAGAATTCCCTAAAGATATAGATGTGAAATAAAATATAGAAATAATTCATAAATATATTAGCAATTAATTCTAAAGCAAAAAGTGGATACTTCCTAAATTGTTTTATTATTTAACCTTAATTGCTTTGCGACACATTAACTGATTTATTATGTCTATAATCTGAATAACATTTTGATATTTTGAATATCTCACAAATATCTACTCGCAAATAAAATACTACAAGAGCAACACATAAAATTATATATATATATATATATATATATATATATATATATATAAATAAAATAATGTACATATGATGACTGGCCAGATGTGAGTAATTATTATAACTTTAATACTGGAGTTAGTCGATATGATATATAACTTTTTTGTAATCTATTAAATTTCAGGCTTAGTAACAATTCCGGAAAATAGTGATACGATGCGTCGATTTCCAGACTCTTGGGTTTCATCGACATGTATGATCGAATAATAGAATGGATGATCGATATAGATCTTCTCCTCAATCTCCAAAGACAAGGCTAGCATGAACATCCCTGAAAGAAAAGTATTGCTGATGGAGGTATATGGAGACGAGATATCGTCTCTTTTCCTCGTTGTTAGTCGAATCGTTCATAGTAACGAATCATGTAAGTAAGCGATAAAAGACAAAAAAGGCAGGAGTATTTCAGAATGACATAAATAAAGATTTACCGTTTTGAAAAATTTTAGACATTTTGCACCTCGAAAAAAAAAAGATCTTCAAATAAGTGAAAAGGAAAAGAGTGGAGTTAAAAACAAATTTCAATTATGTATATATATATTCAAATTCAGAATATTATACACATGCAAAAAACATTGACGACATGCAATACCGCATACTATATAAATGATTGCCGTTTGTTGCCAATTTAAAATGACAATAAATCAATGATTGTGGATATTCAAAAATCTAAAAATATATTTATTCTGTAATTAATCACTATAACGTTAACTATACTGTGGAGATGTACAAAAAGTATGATGTGCATATGTATGCATTCTTAAACTATATTCAGACGAAGTAAACAAGCGCGAACAAACATAAACGAACAACACTTGCTTCAATGAGTGTGAATAATGTCGCAAATTGGCACGTATATAGATACAAATATTGATATTTAAACAATGAGCGGAAAAACGAATGATAAATAATTATCAATCAATTCGCATCACGGATTATAAACGGATCCGTTAAACAACGTAATGACATTGAGGTTTTCAGATTTTCCGTCTATCTTAACGATACGATACAGGAATGGATGATCGATATGAAACGAGAGCTTTTTCGGCGGTGGGAATACCGAGACTTTTTCCACGGTGATGAGCACTGAAACATACGATTAATTATCACATGCGACTTCATTCACATGTTCTCTCGTATCGTAGAGCAAGATATGAACTGCAATGCTATATAAATTTATTTATCTTTTTACGGCAAGAAGAAATATAAAGTCTGAACTGAGCAGTATGGCTAATAATAATAAGAAAATTAATGGAAAAGAATAAAGTAAAAATGTTACATGATATGTAGAGCTATCAAGATGTGACGAGATAAAAATTAATTAAATATGCCTAACACCTTCTTAGATTTTTATTGTGTTTTCATGTCGATCGTTGGGATCGTTGAGGTTGTTTTTTTAGAATTTTTTTAGACTAGAGAGAGAAGAATGTGTCAGAATGTGTCGATGTATAAAGTCGTTTAATTTTTGGTAAATTTTAAAAGAATGAAATAAATGGAAATTAACGAAGAAACGAGGCTGTAACCTAATTTTATTTCATTTAATGACATACGTGCATTTAATTTTCTGACGTTTTCAACAAAACATTCTTTATAAAACATTGTTAAATTCAAAATTATAAAACGTAATATGCCCGGCAAATAATGACGTCACGCTATGTCCATTTTGATCATGTTGCACTGTAGTGATGACATAGAAAAAAGAGTGGTCAATTCGTATTTCTTCCAGAAAGCTAAAAGGTACAGGTATTATTTCTAAAACATTTCGACGCTCCTTTATTTACTAATCGCTGAGAAATTGTTAATTTAATTTAAGTTTAATAGACATCACAAACCACATTATGGTCGACTTGGTAAATGAAATATCGATAGGTAATTTTATTTTATTTATTTAATTAAAAATGTTTATTAGTAATGAATAGATGAGGATAGATTCAAAATAAATTAACAAGAGATTATTTTTGTATATTTCAATGTATTATCTTGGCAAACTGTTAATGTCTTCTATGTATACATTATTTGCAATAGTGCGCAGATTAAATCTGATTAAATTACAAATAGAAAATTCAAATAGAAATTAAATATTTTTGTTTTTTTTTCAGTTTTATATCTCCATATGTTTATATCTCCATCTTTTTGGAATAATTTTTACACGAAAAAAAAAAGAATATTACTATGAAAAACGAATTAAATTAATTTTAATTTATTATTAGTGTGTCAATTAAAGTATTTTATAATATTATTTTTTTTCTCGTGTAAAATTATTTTTTATATTAAAGTGTACAACTCTTTTTTTTACGTTTGTCGATTAAGTACTTTTACATCTGTCAAATAAAAATCAATACTTTTTCACGAATAGAAAAATAATATATATATATTTATTATGCGATAAATTTAATTAAAAAACAAGATAAAATATTTAATTACAAAAGCATACATACATGCTTTATAAATTAATTTCTTTCACATATATTAAATATTGCATTTGAAAATATTTAAGCCTCTATTATAAATATTGCATCGCTAATAATTAATTAAAATTTATAATATCCAAACATAACATATCTATATATCAATATTTAAAAATCCCACAGATGAGAAAATATAAAGATTGTTTATACCGAGACATTAATAAGAATTAATACGAATAATTTTTTATGTAAAATTGTTTTATGTAAAATTGTATTCATAATTAAAATTGAAAAGTTATAACAAAATATCAACAATAATTGACACAAAAAACGCGGCTAATGATTGCAATCGATCCATTTTGTTAATAAAAATCACCGAAATAATTTGTGATGTGACGTCATTTTTTTTCGAGACGCAGACGATCACAAACCAAGCATGTATCAATACGCACGGTTTTTTTTTTATTTATTATTTATTGCGACCGTTAATAAGTCGGCACGGTAACTATCCCGGTGATTAGCGGCACAAAGTCATCGTTTTCGGTTTCCTGATCCTCGAAAATTTTGACAATACTATAAAGGAACGGACGATCAATGTCCATGTTAATTGGCATTATCGGTAGACAGCGCATATTGATCTCCACTCCTGCAAACAGATCATCGGATTGTTCGTACAAACCACGACGAGATAAGGGTTACAATTAATCCTTATTCGCTTCCGTGGTGTGGAATGACAGCGCAGCAAAGGCATCAGCATGCGTCCTTAACTACGATGAGATAAAAGATGCGATGCCTAGCCTACATCTAGTGTGCATTATTGTGTATATAATTTCAAATTCGCGAAAAGTATTCATGTTTCTACAGTGTCTTTTTCTTGAATTTAAACAAAAATAAATAAATAAATAATTTTATATTAATTTTGCAGATATCTATAAAATGCCTGGAACGAGTATGTAGCAATTTCTTAAAAAGTTCTTCTGTTAAAGAAAGATTCATTCCTAGAATCTGTAACCAAAAAACATCCAGTGATTCTAGTATTGTTTACAGAGATCGAATGAAATCTTAATATTTCCATATTCCGATATTTCCATTGGAAAATCTTCATAATATAAAAAAAATATCAAATAAAATATATATTTTCAAAGTCATAGCCCTACGTATAAATAAAAAAAATTACTTCTAACAAAAACACTATACATAACGCACACTTGCTAAAAGCGAGCGTTTGAATATATAGATGATGTGATGGGAAGCATTTAAAATGAGATCGAACGAAAAACTGTAAGGCAGGATTTCAAATGCTTAATATTTTTTATTAGCAATTTCGGAAAAATGGAGATCTAACAATGTAAATTAATAAGTACACAATAAAAAAAAATCAATCTCAAACAAATCAAACAATTCAATGACTGATCTAGTACAAGCGGCTGTTAAGTAAAGTTATAAAAAATTATTATTTGCTCCCAATGATTTAACAATTGTATATTATATGAAACAAGTCACATGAATTTTATATGATTTATATTTTATATTTCGATTTCTTAGGTGACTTGTAAATTTATTTGAATTTGAATGGAAATTTTCCTTTCTTCTTCTCAGTGTAATTTAAAAGAGCTCCATTACGTATTACCCATTACTGTATTAAACAATGTGTTTAAACAAATTAAACTGTATTATATTGTAACATCAATTTTCGAAGAATATCAAGGATTAGCCAAAGGTTCAACAATAAATCCGACGAAGAGTGAGGCTACATTGTGTTTAATGGTATAGTAGAAAGGTCTGTCTGCCTCGAAAATGAGTGGCTCGAATAAAGGAGCTGGCCTTCCGGGTAAGAATATTATATCTACAAAAAAAAATCAGAAGACTATGTCATACGATTGTGTCAATCTAATTTCCCTATATTACTCACATAAGTTCGGACAAAAGCGATTTTGTTAGAGCGCGACAGATGCAGAAATTCTTCCCCATCATGGGAAAGACTTTCAAGCATTAGAAAATTAGAAGATTGCGAAAATTGTCACGTT